TTATGGACAATTTTATACAACAAAGGGTTGCACTAATGTCCTTTGGCAAGACATTGATCTACATTTGCCACTCTCCACCCAGGTGTTAAATGGGTACCCGGTAGGATGCGAAAGCTAATGTGGTTAGATTAGCAAGTGTGCGCATGTAAAAATGACGCCTGGCTGGAATGCTCCCCAGGGAGTGGAGAATGTGCATACATTGTGTGCGGGTAAGCCTGAATCCGATGACCGGGGTAATAATATACTTATCTGTAAAGCGCTTTGTGAGGGCCTCCGGTCCTGAAAAGCGCTATATAAGAACGAGCTATTATTATTATTATTATTATTATTATGAATCAATTTTATCTTTGCGAATGGGGGCCAGGGGGAGATACCCTCCCGGAGGAGCTAAGGACCTAAGGAACCCCCGGACGCTCTCGAGTGTTAGAACTTCAGAATCTTTAAGATAGCCGTCACGAGCGATAGCAATAGGGATTTTCTCCTTGATATTCACACAGCCCCTATCCTTTCATTTAATAATTCATCTCTAATATTTTTATTTTTACCAAACTGGTTTTTGTATTGTTCTACCAACGATAACATCCTCTCAGGTTATTATTTCGTAATCAGTGTAGCGATTCTTTCTCTCTCTCTCTCTCTCTCTCTCTCTCTCTATCTCTCTCCATCTCTCTCCTTTTCCTCTCTTCTTCTCTTTTACCTTCAAACAGTTGAATTCAATTTCACAGCAACCAACAGCAAAATAGGAATGAAAACAATTTGAACGTTTTGCCAAAAAATGATAATATAATTCCAAAAGTCTTATTTGTAAAATAGAATGGAGTTTTGACCGATGCTAAGCACATAATGACCTGTAATATCACTACGAAATTAAAAACGTTAAGCCTATCATCATATTTCTATGTACTATCTCTATTGAGGATTCACCTATCAACTTCCCAACGGCATCTATATCTTATCTCTTTGGTTCTCTCTCATTGTCTCTGTCTATCTGTCCCTCTTTCTATCTGCCTTCTCTCTTTCATTCTGTCTCTCCCCCTCTCCCCGTAAACCTGTCTCCGTGTCTCTCTTGCTCTTCCGCCTATCGGAATCGCACCCTCCCTCCTTCGAATTCCCTTTCGTCATCTCCTTCCCATCTCCCTTATCCTCTTATATTATTCTTCTTTATGTTCCACATACTAAGAATCTTGCTCTACGATTCGTCATAAGTAAATCACGTGATGAAAGATGCACTGTGTAGATAGTACTACTATCTTCAGTGAAAGTGTGTTGCACTGTGTAGATAGTAATCTACACAGTGCAACGCACTTCAATATTGTATACGTTGCGTATACATACGCACGTAAGTACTGCATGCACTGTACGTATCGTACACCGTTTGCTAGCTGTTAATTGATGACTTGTTGCTTAAAATGACGGAAGAAGTGAAATGTTTCCTATGTGGAAAATAAAGTAAATAATCACATTTTGGTTTCAGGCGATGGCAAACTATCACATCCTCGGTGATCTGAATGTATACGCTATGTTTCCTCAGCTTCGCTTCGGAAAGATAGCTATATCCAGATCGCCTCGGAAGTGATAGGTTGTCCCATCACCTTCACCAACGGTAATTATTTGCTTATTATATCATTCATTATCTTGTCTTATTTTATTCGACTTTTTCTCTTTTTTAATACTCTTGTCTTCTTCTTCTTTTTCTTCTTTTTTTCTTTCTTTTTCTTTCTTTCTTTCTTTCTTTTCTTCGTCTCGTGGGTCTTCCTCCTATTGGCCATTTTCTTGTTCTTCTTTTTTCTCAGTTCATAAAAGAAAAATGTGACATAAGTATTAGCTTGCATTTGAATCGATCTTGATTATTTTCATGTTATTTTTTTCAATGATATAGTCATAACGATATAGTGAAGTCGTCAACCATATTTTTTATGTTTTCATTTTAGCATTACAAGTTGTTTTTGAATAATTATTGATTCACATCACTATGGCATTTATTATTATTTGCTTGCGCTTTCTCATCACTGCATTTATCAGTTTATGATAACCTACTAATCCTAATTAAATTAAATAGAATTAAATTCGGCTTTCAACAATTATACTAAAATAGGTGTTCATGCCATGGCTCATTGATTGGATACTGATGATATGTGTATGTCGTGCACGATGTATTTCACTTCTGGTCGCCATGGCGTTCATTCTTCCTCATTTCGCTTCTATTTGTTACCGATGTAGAGAAATAATGGTTTAATTTAGGCAGGGTGGTGGTTTAGTGAGAGAGAAAGAAAATTCCCCCTTTTTAGGGGTATGGTATGTTTTCTTTTCTTTTCTTTCGAGGGGGTGGGGGTAGATATAAGTAAAACCAATGAATCATTTTATTTGTGAATGATAGTGGATTGAGTGGAAATGATTAAGAATTTGCACTGTTTGCCTAAATATGTAAGAGAATAATAAATTCGCCGGACATAATGTCAATGATCAGAGTAAATCGCTAGGTTGTATTTCTTAGAAGTGCATTGAATATACAGCCATGAACCCATAAACATATAAAATAAACTTTCGTTTGGAAAAAGTTCCTCTTTGCTAACCTTCGCTCTATATTATACTGCATAGCAATATTTGGTTTCAGAACATAATGCTCAACAATCACAATTAATTCTCTCTTTTGTCTAGGTGTGGCAAATGCATTTTACTCTCATCTCACTGTAAACATCAGCAAATTCTTTCTGTCTCTCCCCTCTCTCTTTATGTCTGTCTCAGTGTCTCTCTAGCTCTTCCACCAACGAGTCCCTTCCTCCCGCCTTCGAATTCCCTCTCGTCATCTCCCTCCCGTCTTCATGCTCTCCCACCTTCACCCTCGCTCTTTTATTCTTCATCTATATATCATTCATTATCTTGTCTTATTCCATTCAACCTTTTATGTTTTTAATACTTTTTATCTCCTCCTTTTTCTTTTTCTTCTTCTTCTTCTTCTTCTACTTCTTCTCCTACTTCTTCCTCTTGTTTTTCTACTTGTTCTTGTTCTTGTTCTTGTTCCTTGTTCTTGTTCTTGTTCTTGTACTTGTTCTTGTTCTTCTTCTTCTTCAGTTCTTCTTCTACTTCTACTTTTACTTCTTCTTCTTTTTCTTCTCCTTCTCGTGTGTCTTTCTTTTAAAGGAGGCTATTTTATTCTTTCTTTCTTTCTTTCTCAGTTCCCTTTAATTCATGATTTTTGTCGCTCTTTGAAGCTCGCACCTGAATCGAGCTTCATCATTGTCATGTTGTTATTTTTTTTTTTACTTGAATGATATAGTGACGGCGTCAACTATGGAGGTAATTTTCTGTTCCCCCCCCCCCTCCCTCTTTTATTGTTGTTGCATTGTTTAGCATTGCATATAATTGGCCCCGAATGGCGGAATGTATTATTGATACACATCACTATGCCTACATTATTATTTGCGTGCGCTTTCTCATCAATTGTAGAGGTGTTCATGCCATGGCTCATCGAATGGATAATGATGATATATGTATGTCGTGCACGATGTATCGCACTCCTGATCTCCATGGTGATCATTCTGCTCATCTCATTTTTATTTGTTACCAATGTTGAGAAATAAGTTTCATTTTTGGGGATAGTTTCATGTCTTTCTTTGTGTCTTTCGGGGGATAGTGTACGATATTAGATTCAGTGGAAATCATTAAAAACCCTATACTTTGACGGTTCTGACTGTTCTCCATAGACTGTTCTCCCCTCCCTCTTTTATTGTTGTTGCATTGTTTAGCATTGCATATAATTGGCCTCGAATGGCGGGAAATGTTTTTGAATAATTGATACACATCACTATGCCTACATTATTATTTGCGTGCGCTTTCTCATCAATTCTGGAGGTGTTCATGCCATGGCTCATCGAATGGATAATGATGATATGTGTATGTCGTGCACGATGTATCGCACTCCTGATCTCCATGGTGATCATTCTGCTCATCTCATTTTTATTTGTTACCAATGTTGAGAAATAAGTTTCATTTTTGGGGATAGTTTCATGTCTTTCTTTGTGTCTTTCGGGGGATAGTGTACGATATTAGATTCAGTGGAAATCATTAAAAACCCTATACTTTGACGGTTCTGACTGTTCCCCATAGACTGGCTTACTACCATATTCGGATTGTATGCATACTTTCTCTACGACCCCGCGCTTGCCCGAGGCTTGCCTGATAGAGGAACAAGTAATATATGCGGACTGGATTTCGAGTAGTGTAGTTTACTCATTAATAACAGGTTAATGTCACTAGGTCGCCAAGAAAGACAAATATGTTGGTAAATTGGTCTATTACCACTGAAATATAACGTGTTAGAGTTCAGTGTCTTATACATATAGGTACACAATTTGGCGGGGGGGGGGGGGAGGCGAATTCATGGTGTGGGCATGTGTGCACGCCGTCAAAGGTTAAATATTAAAAACATAGGGGTTTATAGTGGAATGGGTGGGTATTTCCAAATATATTTAGTCAGGGCACTGACCTCATCTATATCCAAATTTATATTTCCTCTCAATTAGACCTCTTAAAGATAAAGTTGAGTTCTGGTCATGCGATTGCATTGTGGAAGAAACAATGTGGAATCGATCAGAAAAGGTTGATCATCTATCATATAAGTATTGTTGTGTACTGCAAGGTTCTGGAATCATCAAAATGATAAGAAATTTGGCCCAGTCTTGCTAAGTTACAAGCACTGTACACAGAAAGAAATATATGGGATTACATGAACATGTGGCATGTTACATGCCATATTTAGAATATTAAGGCATTTGAAGTGCCATGCTTTTCAGGGAACATTTTTTATCCGATGTTCTTCCACACTTGCATAATATAATTAAAATGCTCACAAATTATTTTCACCTCTTCCCAGAACTCAACCTTCTCTTTAATACGTAGTCTCAAATGTAAAAAGAAGCTCTTTCAAAATTAAGTTCAGAACTTCAAAAAACACTACTGTGACAGCCAGACACAAATGAACAATACAATACATGCATTAGTCCTATTTACTTTATAATATCAATCTTTTAATAGAAATATACCATGATACTTTACGTGATATAAAACAGTTCTTTATTATTTCAGTTATGCAGAGAGTTGATAGGGAGTTATGTACACAATGCAATAATGCATATAACAAAATTGATATGTAATCATATCTTTCGAAAAATAATATCGCTAGTGATATTCGTTTGTCTCGCAGTGTATGGTCAACAAGGGATCTAAAAGATAAGAGGGTTACATTTGTTTCAAAGTTTGGCCGCGGCATAGACATTCAGAATTCAGATTCTACTTGATTCTAAACACTTGACAAATATATTGCAATCTACTATATAATAGACATTATCGCATCTTATCCATACATGTCATCGATTTTCACGAAACTCGACCCAGTAGCAAGGTGAGTGGATAGGATACATCAAGAATGGTATCGTCTGATGATGAGCCAGGACTAGCTACAGCTGACATGACCCTGGAAGACAGGGAGGCGAGATGGGGATGGTGGTGAGAAGCGTAGAGAGGGAGATAGGAGGAGGAGGAGGAGGGGAGGAAGCAAAACAAAAGAAGACAAAGGATAAAAACCAAAATTCAATTTGAGTCCATTTGGCAGTGAAACAGTGAAATAGAAGATTAATTATGCTATCTTTGTTTAAGCCTGAAACAGTTGGCCATACATTATCTCTATGTGCCCCCCCCCCCCCCATATAAGAACTTAATTCCAAAAGGAGCTATATCAAAGCTTACATCTAAAAGTATTCAACGAATGTTCGACCAGTCCACCTTTTATTCTTGATTTATGAAAAACACAAAGAACATCAAATTTACAAGGGGGATGAATAATTTAGTTGTTAAATTTATATGTATATACATTATATATACTCACGATATTCATTTTCTCAATTATACTAATGCTTGGTTCCCTTCTAAACTTAAGCCTATCTGCACTAGTTTGGCAAGGAGGGACTAATCCTCCCTGCATGGTCACTGACAGGTGGTTATCTCATCAAATCAGCTCTCAATTAGCATATGAAAAAGGGGATCATGGGGGACCAACGGGTTCGGCTTGGGCATTGTTTGCTATATAGAGGCGCAAGTAGCTACAAGCAGTGCGGTCCCGCTTTAAAGGACCTACTTCTTATGGTACTCCTCAAGAATTTGACCAGATGGGTTAACTTCCAGGTACTTTGCATAGGCTGACCAGCTTCTGATATAACCAATGAGATGAGACACTGACCACTGCATTCTCATCTCCAATGTGTCATCCCTGTTTAAAAAAAAGTGAATAGAATTAACTGAACAAGAATGTTAACATTATTTTCATTCCTGTTTGACAAAGAGAATCAACATGCAGCATTAGACTTTTAACGTTCATGTAACCCCTAGATCATAAAGTGAATTAAAGGAAACCTCATCTCCAAGAATAAGTGTATGTATTCTGAAATTGACAATAACAATTTATTCACTTTTCCCCTTAAAGGGATCGTTTAACAATGTTAAATCTGAGATACACGGCCCTACGTGTTATCAGTGTCTGTGATATGATGTAATATTGAAGCCCTAAAAAAATTGCGCTTCAAAATGATGAAGAAGTGCCTCAAAAAAGTAAAAATCTTTGAGTGACCGGTTTTACCATACTCGTTTTCCCCAATAGACTGTAGTGTTATGAAAACCGTCAGGCGAATGGTTTTCAAAATTTGTAATTCCAATCATAAATATCTTGATAATCAGACAGGCGATCGGCTTGTAAAAGTCACGGGTTCCTGACTGACCTAAAGGTTTATAATTATCATTGCATCATGAGTTAAATCCAGAATATGTTTTCAGAATCTGAGACAAAGTTACCGGATCCCTTTAAAGTAGAGGTGCATTGATTTTAAATATTCATTTAATTTGTATCATTGTATAAGGGTATGTTAGATAGGACAAATTAATCAAAATTTAACTGCCAGAAATATTCAATTTTTTCCAACAATTTACCTCACAAAGTCTGGAAAAGGTATCTCATAACCTGGTAGTTTATCTTCAACAAGTCTTCTCTTCTCATTCCAGAAGGGACCAAGCTCTTTGTTGTAAATCTAGGGGGAACAAAGACAATATAAATATATATGTATATACAATAGTTGGTCATATACAGCCGGGGGCAGGATATAGAAGGTTGTTACCCCCTCCCCTTATTATTTTGTGCAGAGTGCATTGTACATGTATGTTTCTGACCATTATGATTGCCAGCTCCCCCCCCCCCCCCCAATCCTAGAACAGTTTGTCCATATTGCCAATAATAAGGAATATTGCAGTCCCTAACTCATTCAAGTTTCTTTTAAATAGCATATTTTTGACAGGGTATCAGTTTGGGGCTGTTACCCTAGCCTGTTACCTCTGAATAATGATAAGATCATCTGTATGTATCCAACACATGTAAATCTGGGCCCTGTCTCATAAAATTGTTATCAATAACGAGATACAATGACTGGTGTAAGGTACGGAAGTTGTGTCATTTGATTGGCTGAGAGCCAATATGTCATAGAAATTTAGCATTAATGATAACAAGTTTTATGAAATGGGGCCCTTGTAAACACCATCACTCTGCACTCCCACTTCCTCCCATCTCGGCAATCTGATCAATGCCCCTGCATACAAAATAGACCCACCTCATCAAAGTATTCTTCCAGTTTATTCCTGACATCGTTATTCTTGTGGTCCAAGGAAATGTTTGCATAGCCGACAATGGCTAGGCATCCATTTGGCTTCAAGACTCGTCTACATTCATTACAGAAGGCCTGGAAATCCAACCAATGAACTGCCTGGGAACATGTGATGAGGTCCACAGAGTGGTCTTCAAGAGGTAGAGTTTCGGCTGGTGAAACTCTGAAAAATAAAGTTAGGGTGATAAAATGCAGGGCAATTTAATGACAATTATCGTATCAAATTGAGAGCAATGCACCTTTATAGAAGATAGGCATTGTCAAAAGTATGTGAGCAAAGTTTTAAAAAACAAACAATCTAGTCGATACTCTGATGGCGCATTACGAAACCTGACATGAAGAAAAACACCGTTGATCATGATTTGACTAATAAATCATTATAAACACGAGCTCACATTTAAACGCCTATAATATCCTGAAACAATACATGTCTTCATCGGCGGACAAACTGTGAAGCATTTAAACTCTCAAACACAAGAACTCTGCAGTTAAAATAAAAGACTTACTTGAATTCAACATTGGGGGCAGTATTTGCCTTTGTTGCTGCCTCCACCTGTGCCTTGCTTATGTCAAAACCGATTGCTCGTTCAAATTGTGAGCTCAAGCCATAGGTCCCCTGGCCAGATCCACAACCAACGTCTACAAGCAGCTGGTGGGGAGGTGGCCTCTGGGAGCAAATGGAAATCAAGAATGTGTACGGTAATTATTTTATTCATTTGGACGCCTGAATCCACAAGCTAAAACAAGCTTTTTACAGGTGCTCCCTTTCACAGTTTGTTTAAATTAACCATGGATATGTGAGTTTGACATAATGCTCATGATTTGTATATTTTGAATTGTCTGTACTTATATATCACATGTATATATTTGTGTTTTTTTTATGGAAATAAAGTCTTTTGAATTGAATTGAATTGAAGATCATAATTATAGTACAGTAGTATCTTTACTGCTGCACAAAAAAATACAGAATTTGAGCTGAAACCCTAATATAAATATAATTATGCCAAAAGAGCAGCTGCATGTGGTATGCTTTTCTCCCCCTTTTAAATTATTATCATTAAACTCCTACCCAAATAAATTCCAAATAAACATTGGATTTGGCTGTTTTCCATTGATTCTACAAGCATTCTCACCTTTTTACTCAAGAAGGACATTATCTTGTGAAATAATTCTGCTGGATAAGTAGGCCTAAATTTGATGTAGTGATCAACCTGCTTAACCCCCTCAAATAACCTGTACGACATGGTGGATGAACTGCAGAAGGAAAAGAACAAAGGAAAAGGAAAGTGTAAAAAATACATTCACGATCAAATTTCACACGAAACAATTAGAATGGTCGATCTTTTTAAACTTTAGCAGGCATGAATATCAGAATAAGCCGACATAGACAGAAATAACCTTCTGATTTGGTCATTTCTTTTATAAACCTGACATTTGTTGACATTCCCAAATACAGACGGCAACACAGGGATCTCGTACCGTGGGGGTGGCTAGAGTCACCGATGTACATCTTTTCGTTCAAAACATTTTTTCCCCGATTTTCTTTATTTAGATCTTATTTTTCTGATTTCTAAATCGGATGTAAATTAGGTCAGTATATATACCTCCTTATTACAGTTTTCAAAATTTGCTAACCTATTATAGAATGTGAAATTTACGGACTTACTTATTATGAGTTATCCAATTTTATCTCAGAACCGCGAAGCAGTACGTTCATGCATTCAAACTATTACCCGGCGGCCGATATATTTCCGGTTCAACCTACCAAAACATAGCCAATGGCCAATCAGAGCCCTCGTTTTGTGGGAGTTTGTTGGTCAAGCCGGGTTGACTCTTACGTAGCTACGGTAGCTATTGGACGTTCAAAAAGAAAAAATGAATATTCATCAACTAAAACCAAGACGAATAATGTTGACGACGAGACTTTCTCGGATTAATCATTAATTTAGGATCTAAATGAGCAAGCTATCGTAAGTCAAATAAGCTATATATATATGTTATTTTTAATTTTTATTATAATTGCAGCAACTATTTATGAGGATGTAAAGAGTGAAAATCTCGTTGCATATCTCATTCATCGCGGTCCGGTCGAACCGAACCATTTTTTCCGTACAGTCCCGTACAGTCCCGATAGGCCGTACTTCAGTCTCTATAATCGCAAAGGTGTCAAAATCTGGAAATCCTAATCCTAACAGGAGTTCTAGGGGAGTTTTGCACAACTTTTTCTATTTGGGCTGTAACCTTGTACATGTACAATTGTACATGTAGACCTCTATAAAGCCTAAGTGTACATTTAAATCCTCATTTGAAGGAAACAGTGTTTCTCATACCAAAATCGAATTAGAAAAAAATCCTTGTAAACTCTCCCAATTTGTTTTCATACACACACACACAAAAAAAATGTTCCTACTCCATATAAATGATGTCCATGATGGCATGAGAATGTCGCAAGTAGGCCTACCACTTCAATTTTCGCAGATGATCAAATCTACAGACGGCAAAGTTGCTCTTTAGCTCTAGAAGTATAGGATCTTGACGCAATAGTTTCGTGGTCACATCAATGGGGCATGCAATTCAGAGTTAAGATAATAAAGAGTAAGAATAAGATGAGTAGACTAAGTATTAAACTGTGGGATGGGCAGATGGGACTCAGTCTTGGAATTGGGAGTCTCACAAATCTGATTTGCAATTGCGCCTAGATGATAGATCTAGATCTACCTCAATTCAAGTCCAAATTAGAAACAAAACCGATACATTTTTTAGTCTAAGACTAGTAACAGTAAATATTGAAATAATGTTGATAAAACTTGTTTAGTAGAGCACCAATGAATTAAAGTTAGACTCTATCCAATTTTAGCGTACCGCTGTTTAAAAAAAAGCCCCAATCTGTGTCATGGAAGAAAATAACGCCCCCCGGCCCCACGTCCACCCCCTCCAGATCCAGCTCGAGACCCCTCGCATCGCATCCAACTACACAATACATAAACGTAGGTACATCGGACCAGTCTCAAAATGAGTTGGTCTTCGTTAATTCTGGTTTACAATATTTTAAGTCGATAAACCACAACGAGAACCTTTAACTCGCAGAATAGAATTAAATATGGGAAATTGTTTGTACCCCAAAATACGAACCTTTACAGCTAACGGAATTGCAGAAAATCGAAGTTTAGTGGTTTGCAGTGTTGTATTGACCACCCGAGCTAGTTCAGAAAGTTAGTCTTGAAATAAAGACCTTATAGTTTTGAATCCAATGGTTCAAACAATAGAAAATTGACCATGTGTTTTATTTAAATCACCAATCCATTTAATATTTTCTTAATTCACTAAAGAATTAATTTAAAGAAGGCATTTTAAATCATAATACTATTCATCATGGCTCATACATAGATTTGTCGTTGGAGTGTCCGAATTTAGACAACTACTAATTAGGGGAATACCCAACTTCTGAATAAGTCCACTGCATGTTATATTTCCGCGCAGAGGATTCATTCGTATTCGTCTGATATGAGGACAATGGGAGATTCGTGACATTTCCCCCCTTCTTTTCACCCTTTTCAAACACATGAGGAGGTTTGATGCAGACGACTAGCACTATGAATATGACTGACAAAGAAAGCGGACAAAATATACAGTTCCTCAGGTAGACAAAGGAACATCCCTTCACTGCTATTATGTTAAAAGGTGAATATGCATGTGACACCTGTTCTACCCATTTTTAGATAATAGCAATGAAGGGATGTTCCTTTGTCTACCTAAGGAACTGTATATTTTGTCCGCTTTCTTTGTCAGTCATATTCATAGTGTAGGCTGATTATCACTTCGATAAGTAATTCAAGATCGAGACTTGCAATTCTTACATCTAGATTCTCCTAAACGGGAATTGCCTCATAGAAGTTTATAACACTTTTAAAAGTATAATAAATATATATTTTTATGTAATATGTCTATATATTATATTATATATTATATATGTATTCATATTCCTAACATACACAAGAACTGGGGTGAAATGGGCAAAAGTGTCCAAGCCGCCGCCCCCCCCCCCTTATATGGAAAGGACCCCAAAAGGGCCCCTTTTTACATAGGAAAGGTGCCCCCCTTCACTTCAGATAATTGCCCTTTTCATTTCTAATAGGTACCTGTTCCACATTCGTATAAGTGCCCCTTCACTTAATGATGATAATTGCCCATAATTATAAATCTGAGAGGTGCCCATTTTACTTTAACAAGTGCCCTTTTCATTTGTAATTAGTGCCCCTTTCCATATTTGATGAGTGCCCCTTCTCACCTCTCATATGTGCCCTTATGTTGACACGTGCCCCCTTGTCTTTCTAATAAGTGCCCTTTTCCCTCGTGATAGATGCCACTTTTCATTTTTAAGTAGTGCACCTTTCCATTATCACAAGTGCCACTATTCATTTCAGGCGAGTGCCCCTTTTCAGGTACAAGAATTGCACCTTTTCAACTCTGATAAGTGCCCTTTTTATTTTGACACGTCGTGCCCCTATCCTTTCTAAATAGTGTCATTTTCCTTATAATAATGCCCCTTTTCCTTTGTAATAAGTGCCCCTTTTCCGTTCTCATTAGTGCCTTTCTCATCCCTGGTGAGTGCCCCTTACCAGGTGCGAGTAGTTTCCCATTTTCACCTCTGATGAAGTTCCGATTTTCACTTTGATACGTGCTCCTTTCGTTTTCTAATAAGTGTCCTTTTAACTTTGGATATGTGTGTCGATCCTTTTAACTTTCGATATGTATGCTCTTTTTCTTTCACCATAATATGTGCGCCTAATTTAAAGAGACTAAAAGCACATTCTTTTCAATGATTTCACCCAAAGATCTTTCACTCGCATTTTTATAAATTGCATTTTTTTTAAAGACACTATTTTACCATCCCTTTAATAATGTTTTTTAATTTTTTTTTAAAGGTAATATAAAGTTTTGGTATGGGGTCATGAATTTGGTTCAAATGAACGTATTTGAAGCATATGCAGTCTGACAATATACAATGATCGTTGTCGCGGTGGAAATCGAGTCTAAAGTTATGAAATTGTAAATAATAAACTGTAGCTGTATAATACACTGTATAGCTCCCTCTCAAGGTCAAGAGATTAATTAAACAAACAATGTTGCTAGACTAAAATCGACCGATTAGATATTCCCGTTTGGAAATTACATATTACAACTACATATTCTGAGAATTTCATGGTCGTAGCTACCATTGTACGGCCGTAAGCGTTATTTGAGATCTATCAAAATTTACCGGGAGCACCGGTAAATTGTTATATTCAATTTTTATCGAAAACAGAAGTGTTTCAGGGGCTACATTTTCAAGTGCTTATAAATACATCCACAGGGGCGTCCAAATATATCAAAATTGTAAAGAATCACTATCCACCCAATTGTCAAAATTCCCCAAAAACTTTGTATGACCTTTAATTATTATTTTTATGGCACTATTTCAAAATTACAAAAAATTCAACGTTGCCAGGACTCGAACCTGGAATCCCCTGATTCGTAGTCAGATGCCTTATCCATTGGGCCACAAGGCCGCCCTGCCACATAGGGCAACCTCAATGTTATTATTTTTCCTTTTTTTTAATTATTATTTTTATGGCACTATTTAAAAATTACAAAATATTCGACCGTGCCACGACTCGAACCTGGAATCCCCTGATTCGTAGTCAGATGCCTTATCCCTTGGGCCACAAGGCCGCCCTGCCACATAGGGCAACCTTAATGTAATTATTTTTCTTTTTTTAAAATTATTATTTTCATGGCACCATTTCAAAATTACAAAAAATTCGACCTTGCCAGGACTCGGACCTGGAATCCCCTGATTCGTAGTCAGATGCCTTATCCATTGGGCCACAAGGCCGCCCTGCCACATAGGCAACCTCAATTTTATTATTTTTCCTTTTTTTTTAATTATTATTTTCATGGCACCATTTCAAAATTACAAAAAATTCGACCTTGCCAGGACTCGAACCTGGAATCCCCTGATTCGTAGTCAGATGCCTTATCCATTGGGCCACAAGGCCGCCCTGCCACATAGGCAACCTCAATGTTATTATTTTTTCTTTTTTTTTAATTATTATTTTCATGGCACCATTTCAAAATTACAAAAAATTCGACCTTGCCAGGACTCGAACCTGGAATCCCCTGATTCGTAGTCAGATGCCTTATCCATTGGGCCACAAGGCCGCCCTGCCACATAGGGCAACCTCAATGTCATTATTTTCCTTTTTTTTTAATTATTATTTTTATGGCACCATTTCAAAATTACAAAAAATTCGACCTTGCCAGGACTCGAACCTGGAATCCCCTGATTCGTAGTCAGATGCCTTATCCATTGGGCCACAAGGCCGCCCTGCCACATAGGCAACCTCAATGTTATTATTTTTCCTTTTGTTTTAATTATTATTTTTATGGCACCATTTCAAAATTACAAAAAATTCGACCTTGCCTGGACTCGAACCTGGAATCCCCTGATTCGTAGTCAGATGCCTTATCCATTGGGCCACAAGGCCGCCCTGCCACATAGGCAACCTCAATGTTATTATTTTTCCTTTTTTTTTAATTATTATTTTTATGGCACCATTTCAAAATTACAAAAAATTCGACCTTGCCAGGACTCGAACCTGGAATCCCCTGATTCGTAGTCAGATGCCTTATCCATTGGGCCACAAGGCCGCCCTGCCACATAGGGCAACCTCAATGTCATTATTTTTCTTTTTTTTTAATTATTATTTTTATGGCACCATTTCAAAATTACAAAAAATTCGACCTTGCCAGGACTCGAACCTGGAATCCCCTGATTCGTAGTCAGATGCCTTATCCATTGGGCCACAAGGCCGCCCTGCCACTATGGCCAACCTCAATGTTATTATTTTTCCTTTTTTTTTAATTATTATTTTTATGATACTATTTCAAAATTTTCTGAGGGCACTCACAAAAAAAAGTTGACAACCATAAAGTAAAAGAATCGGACATAATTATTTCGAAATACTGACAGCTGCAAACTGTAGTGTTTTATTATAATGAACTCCCAAATAAGACGACACACTTTCAAGTAGTAACATAAAGATTGAGTATTTCGTCAGGAAGATGCGAACTCTTTATTTTGAGTCCCATCACTTAGAAAATGATGTATAATGGTCAGGGGGTCGCTAGACCTTTTTTAGTGGGGGGAGGGGGGGTGTAGAGGCCAACGATTACCAACAAAACTAGCCCCCAATTATCGAGAAAAATAAATGTCCCAATATTTACAAATTTAACCCTATATACCCGGGGCCGAAGGCTAAATTGATTTTTCCTACGGACTATCTATAGTACTTGCGTATGCGCAAATGGTCATTTTCCTCGACGACATAAATATAGGAATTATTTCGTCAACTTAGTCAGCATCATAGCTATATATTTCAATGCAGGCGCGGAGCTAGGATCTCATTTTAGGGAGGGGCGGTAGTGAGCAGGCGAATCACTCAAAGAGCGCGCGAAGCGCGCTCATTAGGGGGGTGTGGGTGATAGGCCTACCGCGCGAAGCGCGGAAGCATAGACCTTTTTCTTAAAGCTTATCTGCCGTAGTTTACAGGAGGGATTAGACCGCCCTGCAAGGTCACTGGACAGGTGGTTATCTCATCAACTCAGCTCTCAGTTAACATAAGAAAAAGAGCATCATGGGGGACCAATGATCACCGATTAGGCATTGTTTGTTATATAGAGGGCGCAAGTAGCTACAAGTAGTGCAGTGGGCCTTTAAATTGTTAGGAAAAGGAGACGATTAATTGTACCGATCTCGACTGTTAACCCTTGTCTGAATGAATTCCCCCCCCCCTCCCGCGCGAAGCGCGAAAGCTTTGGTGTTTCATTAAATTATTATAAAAAAAAGAAGACGATTTGCTGTACCGTTCTCGACTGTTAATCCTTGTCTGAATTCAGTTACCCCCCCCCCCTCCCGCGCGGAAGTTTTGACATTTCATTAAATTATTAGAGAAAGTAGACGATTTGTTAATCCGTGCTCGACTCTTAATCTTTGTCTGAATTCGGTTTACCCCTCCCGCGCAAAGCGCGGAAGTTTTGACGTTTCATTAAATTATTAGATAAAGCAGACGATTCGTTGTACCGTTTTCGACTCTTAATAAGCCCTACTTATCTGAATCTAGTTTCCCCCTCTCGCACGAAGCGCGGAAGCCTTGACGTTTCC